AATGCATCCAAAATCCATCCTTGGTCTTAGTGGAAGAAGTCCAAGAGTGATAGAATACACAAGGTCTTTCTGCTCGGCATACTAACAGTCGTGCTAAGTATGGCAAATTCTTTTGAGTTTTTTCAAAAAAAAAATTTTAGAAACTGAATAGTTTGATCTTTAGGAGTGAAGCAGAGACTGCTGACTAATTTCATATAAGCCATTAAATAGGAACCACCAGGATGGTCAATCTAAACCAGATTTGACCTGGTCACCTACAGGTAAAACGTACTTCACCCCATTAGTAATCTCCTGTACAACATCATCTGTTACTTTTTAAATAGTTTTAATCTGGTGACAGCTGCCAAATGTAACTGGTGCATCTGGCAGAATACACCTGCTGTGTTGCCAAATGGACTAAGTATTCTGAAACATGATATCATTTTCAATGGGGAAGCAATGGAATGACATCTGAACAGCTGGTACAGTAATGTGGATGAGTATGAATAAAAAGGATAATTCTGTAAGACAAACATACACCTTGAACACAATCACTTATCTATCCAGAAGACAACCTGTCTATACAGGGCCATAACTATCTCTCTGCTATTTTTTCCCAGTAGCTTCTGTCTCCAGGAAAAATAAAACACTTGTGGGGCACATGCCAGCAGTAAAGAAACATTTTTCTTTATAGCTTCTTTACAGGCAAGTGGTAGATGCGTGTGCGTCGTACAGGCTATCTATCTGCTATCCCACTTCCAAGAACATAAGACTAAAACAAGTTTGGCTGGCTTAGCACCAGATGGAATAGTAGTTCTCAGCCTTTTTTAGACTGAATTTTGCAGAACCCCTCCCGCTGAGAACCATTGACTTGGAGCATACTTGGTGTCAATTTGTCAATTTTTTTTTTCCTTTTTGTCTAACAGAATGTATCTGGGATAAAACCAAGGATGGTTTAAAATAGGATGAGTCTTTTAGCATCATCTCGTCCCATATAGTACCTTTCCTCTTAAAAATGTCTACTATGCATAAGACCACTGTCCTCCTATGTTTATCATTGTAAATTACATATTTTTATGAGAAATGCTGATTTAGGAAAACATTTTTTGGGGCTTAAGCACACAGGTTATCACAACTGTAGGTATGTTGTCCCTGTATTAAACCCATGTGCTACTTGCAATAGTTCTCATTTGCTTCCTCAGAGGTGCTTTAAAAGTCGTGTTGGAGGTACTTATATGGAGCTCCCAGTCAGTGTGCAAAGAAATTTGGTTCTGCAGAAGTAGCAAAAAGGGAATTAAATTTATCCCTGGTTTGTTCCATTTCCTAGCCTATTTCTTTTGTGTATTTTGCATATCTACATCAACAAGCAAAATCCATATAGTAGTTACAGTGGAATTCTGATATAAGGATTTCTTGGAGAACCACTCAATTTGATTGCTTAGAACAAAAGAGAAATAGTTTCTTGCAAGACAAGCAAGAAGTGGCTGGCCTTCAGTAGTTCTATGATTATGTTGCCTTCCCTTTCTCAGAACTGAGAACACAGCAATAGTGTAAGGACTAAGAGCAAGATGAGGTGAGATGGTGGTAAAAGTGCCACTCTTCATGAGATCCTACCTTTAACTATCTGCTTGCAGCATTGCAGCTGAATCTGGCTTGGGTGGATGTTTTTCCAGTCTGGTCTTTCTCTTACTTTTTGGAAACAGGTCCCAGGACAGTTTGACTTGACTGTGCCAGTGGCAAAGCAGTAGCCTCAAGATAAATCCATAGAATAGTGGTTTCCAACCGGTTCTCTCTCCAGGTGGCTGCTGCACCTGCTGCCAGGTGGAACTGTCCCAGGTGCCTCTGTTTACAGATGGCAAGTATAGGCTGGACCAGGAAAACTTCCACCAGGGCCAGCTTTACGTGCACCTGCCACAGCTACATTCTAATCCAGCTGTGCATGCACCTCCTGGAAACAAAGTTGCACAGGGCAGTTTCACACATCCGCTGTGGCATCATAGATGAGAATCACTGACATAGAAGGCTGCTTGGCTTCATAGGCTTCTGGTGAGCAATTTAGGTTAATTTTCCAGCTTGTGATTCCCCAGGCCAGTACTGGTTAGAAGTGTTACTCATGTCATATCCATAGTCCGTGGGAAAATATGATTATTCTGCTTCTGAGTGACCAGTCAAATTAAGCTAAGATGTGTAATGATTAGCGTGAAGTATAACCAGAGAAAAAGAGAGAAGAAAGCATGAGCATTTACTATTTTATAGAAATGCATACAACTGAATTCCAAACTCAAAGGGTGCCACTGTGGTGTTTCACTACTGGCTTGAGTAAAGGAGAGCATACATCCAATTTGCTCCTTGTGGAGTTCTGACAAGACTGCCCACTGGGGCATTTCAAAGGAGCAGTCCTTGTGCTGCTCAGATGCAGAGATTACAAGTGTCTTTAACCCCTGCATGTATGAAAATTGAGGACCCAGCCACCTTTTAATTAGGCAACTGCTTAGCTTTCTTGCCAAGAAAACTGATTCTAGACTTCAACTAGACTCTTAGGGGCCTATCAGTCTCCTCATATGACATCTCCTATATCTTCTCACCTGACATCTTCCAACCTTCCTGTTGAATCTGGACCATTGGAGTGCTAGAATCACAGGCCCAGAGATCAAGCAAGAGGGAGCCTAACTTTGTAGCCCCAGGGAAGAGGCACTCCCCTGGAAGAGAGGGAGTTCTGCTTATGTAATTTTAATCAAATATTCATTAATTACTATGCATAAAGGGCATTAGAATTTTCTTCCATCAGTCACCCACAAGTCACACTCCCTCCTTTCTTCTCCTTGCCTCATCCCGTTACATCTCCTTCTAGTCGCATACCTAGGATGTCCTCAGGAGTGCCTTAGGCAACCCTATGCTGATTGGTTACGTGCTTTAGATGAGGCATGTAATCATGCCAGTTGTCAGAATGGGAGGGCTAGGGACCTCCACAGGGCAATACAGAGTTGGCCTCTGGGGTGTACTAGGCCAGTGGTCTCCAAACTTTTTTGATTGCACACCCCTATCAATAAAACAATTTTTGAGCACGCACCCCCACTATATATATATTTATATAAATATAAATAGAAGTTCTAATATTTTCTTCCTGCACCCCAATAGATTGTCTTGCGCACCCCCTGGGGTGCACGCACCCCACTTTGGAGACCACTGTACTAGGCAACCCATTGCCAAAAATGGAAAAGCTATATGTCTCCCTGCACAGGATGATGTTCCTAAGGCAAGATGTGTGTTGTATGACCAGGGAGCTTTATTGACTTAGACATCTTGTAGGTGGAAGATGATCTGGGTCTTCTCCTTTTATGTTCCATCCTTAGGTTGCTCAGAATGTGGAAATTTGCTTATGTTTTGGAAATTGGACTTGCTTTTCTGAGGGATAGACTTGCTAAACCCCTTTTGCAGAGGGTTTCAAAATTGACTCCTACATACAGATGGTTAAAAGGTTTTGCCCTTAGTCACCTGCACCCATTGATAAGATACTGTGCTGCAAATGTAAGTCACTGTGATATTTCAGACAAGATAAATAATGCATGACTCTGGCAAATGAAAGTTTTGAACTCAAGAGGAATCACTGGCATTTTTAAAATAATTTAGGTAGTGTTTGTAAAAGAGAAAAATGGGGAAAGGGCCTTTAATAAATGTCACTTATTTGGCATCATAACCTCTTTAGAATTAATGGTATTTTTGATTAACTTCATGTGAATATAAGACTAGTTACATTCAGAAACGATTGTTTTCCTCAGAACACTTGAGATAATTTGCAACAAGAGGAAAAAAAATACTAAGATTTAGAAGCCAGATCCAGACTGCCCCTGTCTGCACCTACAGCACTGGCTAACTCCAGCAGCCTTACCTGGGGTCCTGGGGGGGCCTCCCAGATCTGCAGCCATGGCAATCCTGCAGAGCCTGGCCAGCAGCTGCAGCATGGCTCCAGGTAGTCCGGCTCCACTTTTCAGCCGTGTGTGCTGCCCAAGCATGCACTGTTTCAGTTTTTTTTCTGTGGCTTTTTTTGATCCCTGGATATCCCAAGCTGCAGACCTAGGTTATCAAGAGTGAAAAAAAATGGATCAGTGCATGCATGGATTGTGTGCCTTACAGCGCAGAGAACCCCATGCTGTGAGGTATGTGGCACTGCAGATGTGTTTGTGGCACCACATACCACATGACTGAGCTCTTTGGGACGCACCCAGTGAGGTTAAAAACTTCCCCCATACACAGCCCTGCTTTCCAGTGACTACTGGGCTATTGCAAAAGGCAGTGATTCAGCATCAAAGGGCATATGCGAGAAGGGCCTGGACAATGCCTAAGCTGTGGCATGGTGGTTAATGGTTCAAACCTACCTTCTAGGAGGCCCTAGAACTTGGGTCTCTGGCTAACTGTGAGTGCTCAAATCTTTCAACTCTTGGGGATAAAATCTTTTTGCTTCCAGGACTGGCACCAAGATACATGTGTAGATAGTTGTCTATGGGGTCAAGGTTGCACATCTGCGAATACTCATCTGTCTACCCGCACCGACGTGCTCATTCAGACAACTACAGGGAAATAGAATGCTGTCCCTAGAGTCCTACAAGACCCTCGGTTCCTCTAATAGATAACTCTGCTTTGATTTTAAAACAATTTAAAACTGTCAACCTTCCACAGAGTGTCAGATAGGTGCCCTGTTCTCCCTTGCAGAATGCCTTGATTTATAGCTGGCTTGTGATAAACTAAATGAAAGAGAGTATGGCTAGAGTGGCAATGGGAGAAGCCATGGGATGATAGTCACCAGTAGTTTTATAATGATTTTTTAAAAATTTCTATGCTATGACTCCATTTCCTTGAGTCTGTTAAAGTGTCCAAAAGATCTTGGTGATTATTTCGGGGAGTATATAATTTAGTGTGTCTGAGCTACATTCATCTGATGGCTGATTTGAGCTCCTTCTATCGTGAGAAAATTTCTGCTCGGTGCACATCCCCTCCCATTTCCTTCTCCCACCTTTCACCACTGCCATCATCCCCAGCTAACCTGGCATAAGGTGGGGACTTAAGAGCTGCTTCTGCCCCTCTCCAGTCAGGCTGCTTGGGGATCCAGACTCAGTCAGATACAGTGGCAGTGGTGGATAGGTTCTCTATCCCTTCACATGGCCTCAGGCTGGCTGGCAAAACCTAAGAGACTAGGCAGGGAGGGGGAACCTGCCAATTGCCACTGCTGCTGCTGTCTCAGACTGAACCCAGTCAGCCAGGCACAGCAGCAGTGACAGTAGCAGGTAGGGAAGATATTGAGGAGAGGGGGGGAATAGGAGGAAGAAGACAAGCAGTTGAGCACAGAGGGAAAGGGTAAAGGTGCTGAAGTGCTTTTACCTGCTTTCAGGTCCCCAGCTGCTGCTCCCATGATGTGGTCCAAAAAGGCAGGGTGCAATCAGACCACTGCACCTCTCTGGATCCACCTCGGTAAAGACCTAGTATGTTTCTGCACTGATGTGGTTAGACATGTTGGTTGCTTTCTCGTCTGCTGATTAGCATGTTACTGACTTATTTGTAATAGAATTTGAATAGACTGCTCACATTTGCTGAGCATCCCCATGGGATGATTATGGGCAATTATTCATTTTCCCCAAAATTGCTCTTAGGTGGGAGAATCTCATGGGAAACCATCATGAGGGCTAGTGAATAGGCACAGGTTATAGCATTTTCAGTATGCTAATGGCACCCTGCTCTAAATCCTTTGTTAGAAGTTTTTCAGAATGGGAGGTTATGGAAGGGATTTTCTGGTTTACCCAAGATAGGAGACAGGGTTTTTATTTTTTTTTCTAGAACAACTATGCACACATGTTAAGGGGCAATCAGACCAGAGAAGGAGGTGCTATTTGTTTATTAATTTGATTTTGAAGTTTCTTGGTAAAAACCTTCCTATAAGAATGAGATTTTTTTTTGGCTTCAATGTTTTTTAACTACATCCAGTCTCTGAAGGGAATTTCACAAGCTCAGATATAATATTTGACTTTTTAACAAGCCCATTCATTTGTGTCTTTTTCCTTATAAGACAAACTTAAATATAAAGTGTGCTTTGATTCTGAATGTCATACCTTTCTATTTCATTTAATGTCATTCAGTTATTCTGGTACAAACTCAGTTGAAGCCAAAAGCTTCTTCCACGTTTATACCAGCACAACCGAGTTTAGAATGTGGCCCAGTCGCTTGAATTTAATCTCATCTCTTTTTCTGTCAGCCATCTAACAGTTAACATTCTCTGTCCTTCACTTTGTTAAATGGAAAAGTTGCTTTCAAAAACAGATGATAAGTATTGCAGGAGAATTTTGATTTTAACATCTCATTACCTACCCCTTACCCAAATAATAGGAGAAATGATGTCACCACTCTAATGTAAATCCATAAATCACCTGAGCAAAAAAATAAAAATAAAAATCTCATGAAAAAATATTTGTCTCCACTTTTTTTTAACCTAAGTGCATATACACACATCTATTACTGATGCAGGTAAGCTACAATTCTTTTTGAATGTGAAATTGAACTAGCAGCCTTTGATCTGAACTACAGGCTGATCTGAATTCAAGAAAAGCCTGCTGCTAAGCCACATTCCCATTCAATCCATTAAACCATTCACTTCCCTGCTCCTCATCACACTGACTCCTAATTTGACAATGACAAAGAGCTCCACGGTGATTTTAAATTTCATAATTTTAATCTGTCAAGTCTGACATTTAATTAGTGCCCTTCTAACCTGTGCCCGCTCACTTGAAGGTTACTGTTGGTTTTCCTTTAGAAATTTTTCCTCTGAAAGAGTGGATTAATAAATATGTACATAACTGGCAGGGATAAAGACAATACACACACAATGGTCTATTAGTTCCAAATCTAGACAGATGAGGTTAATAATATTTTAAAGTGCTGCTTTATTGTATTAAGAGTGATTAAGCCCTTGGCTCAACCCTGTATGAGTTGTTCATTGAAAACATAAAATATAAGGTCTATTAAGCAAAGTCTAGTGAGAACAGTTATCCAAACTACAGTAATACTGTGTTCATAAGCCATATTACAGGAGTGGATCATTTCTGAGAGATCATTTCTTCAGTTAGCAAGCACAATGGAACAGTCAGGGCTCATTAAACAGGCTAATTGAATTTTGATCACTTAGCTGGCCTATGAAAATAAGGCTTGTGGGAAGGAATCTGGTGCAATAGTTTAACACTCCAGAGTTTTACATCAGAAAGTCTAGATTCAAATTTAATGTCAGATACTTGTCAGACGATTTTGCTGGTCTCAGTTGAGTCCCATATGGACATTAGTCCCCATCATAAAATCACTCGAAAGTCTAGTACAATTAGCAAAGTAGCAAGTCAGAGTCTTGAAAATTCTTTTATAGAAGTTTGTGGAACCATGAACAGAATTTCCCTACACCACATTTGAATACAGCCTGTGCTGTCTAAGTTCCAATAAAAACTTGTAACAATCATTCTTTTAAAAACACACATGTGGAAATAAAAAATATTAAGATTCTGCAGCTCACAGTCTTGGTTTTTCTTCCCTTTGTGTCATAAGACATATATTCATAAGGTTGTATGTTACTTTAATTAGGATAATCTTTTTCCCATTCTTGGGAAACACTACAACAATGTAGTAGCACGTCCACAAGTCAAAAGAAGCAGGGTGTGTTTAATAATATTTTTATTGGAGTTGGGAGAAATGTTAAACAAGCTTTCAGGCACAAAATGCCCTTCCTCAGATCTGAGAAAGAAACAGATGCAGCCTAAGCATGATATCTGGTAGAAAAATTACTTTTGCTTACCCATTATGAAAGTGAAAGTGTTCACTTTAAAAGGAAAGTGGGCAGTAAACTTGTGGCCAGGCTAAAGACAGTTATGCCGGTCAAACTCAAAGTAAAAATACTTTGACTTCTCAAAACGTTGCTGGTTTTTATTTGTGTGTAATTTTTGTGCATTTTTATATGAAATATGCAGTGTTATAGAGGATGTAATGACAGCAAATGGGTAGAAGTAGGATAAGAAACAAATAATATAAAAAAGTATTCTTGATAGTAAAAAGCTTAATGATTAATAGGGCTGTGCAAAGCTTTGGATCGTGATTCGGATTTGGAGATGATCTGGATTATTCAGAGGCTGAATCTATGAATCTGAATTGAATCGCTAGAAGCTTTAGGCTTTCTGAATCAATTTGGAGCTTCCAAACTGATTTGGAAAAGATTTGGCAATTTGAAGATTCGGCCGTAGGGTATAATGGGGAATCAATGAAATATCTATAACTTTGTTGTTTTTTGGCTGATTTGGATGAAACTTGCAGGGATGGTAGCCTCTGCTGAGGGCATGAAGCTTGCCAAGTTTCAAGGAGATAGATGCAGAAGTTTCTGCACCTCAAACTGCTGACAAACAAAACTCATTACATTGGTGACTGTGTGCATTAAGGCACAGGGGGGCGGGGTGAAAACTGCAGGCCTGCTAGGGCTTGCTGCAGCCACAAAGCCTGCCAGCTGTCAAGGAGGTAGGTGCAGGTGGAGTCTGGGTTCTGGGGTACTGCACCTCTGGCTGCAGGCAGGCAAAACTCATGACATGGATGCTTGTGGGACTCTGTGTGTGTTCAGGTGCACCCTTCATGGTGCTGGGGCCTCTGCACACCACGGCCTAACTCCTACAGCCTTAGCCCAGTCTAGCACTGTAAACAATGGCAGGTCAAAATAATTTAGCTGGCTCAACACCAATAGCACCAGCAGCATCAAAGGTAGCCAGACGGAACTGTCAAAGATCCAAAGGTCTTTATAAAGGAATTGACAGCAAGAAATAAAGATGTTGTGTTGGATGCGTGTTACTCGTGGTGTGCGATGGCTTATCTCGTGCTTTTATGTTGATATGTTTATTATGAAAAAAATGAAAGAATTACAAAAATATATCTTAGGAAGCTTTCGGGTTGCAAAATCCTTTGTTAGTACGTGCAGTTGGTGTGTCTCCTGGTCCTGGATGGAAGGAATAGTAAAGAAGCCAGAGGCTAGCCTGGCATGCAATGCAGGCAAGAAAGATAGTCAGTGAAAATGGAAATGTAGGCATCAGGGGGTGAGGGACAGGCTGGGGGTAGGGGGAGAAGGGTGTTGTAGCAGCGCAGATAAAAGTACAGAGGTGCAGTTCCACAGAAACCCATGCACCTCTCTCCTTGAAATCTTGCAGGCTTCATGGCCTCAGCAGGGGCTACCATCCCTGCAGTTTTCACCCTGCTGCACCTTAACACACACAGTGTCACCTATGTCATGAGTATTGCTTGTGAGCAGTTTGAGGTGCAGTTTCCCAGAAACCCTTGCACCTATCTCCTTGAAACTTGGCAACCTTTATGGCCACAGCAAGAGCTACCACTCTTGCAGTTTTCACCCCACTGTGGCTTAACACAGACATGTGACATGAGTTTTGCTTGTCAGCAGCTTGAGGTGCAGTTTCCCAGAAACCCCTGCACTTATCACTTTGAAACTTGGCAGGCTTTACGCTCTCAGTAGAGGCTACCAGTTTTGCATGTTTTATCTAAAACAGCCAAAACACAACAAAGTTATAGATATTTAATTGATTCCCCATTATACTCTATGGCCGAATCTCCGAATTGGTTCCGAATCTTCCAAAGTGATTTGGCCGAATCAAATCGGAGAAACAATTCAGATTTCTTAATTGAATCGCTGGCATCTGAATTGGCTGAATCTGCAGGTTGTTCCAGGGCCAGGACAGAGCTGTGATCTGTAGCCTCCGTGCCCTGGGCAGGGGCACGCACACAGGGGATCACGACTCTGTCCCTGCTCCAGGCCAGGCTGTCACCGCTGCAAGGAGCTCTGGCCCTGGCCCTGGAGCAAGCTGTTTCCATCACAAGATCCCAGCGGCTCTGGAGCAGCCCTCTGCCCTGCCGCACACCCTGCCCTGCACAGCTGGGGTTGGTCCCCATGGCAACCCCAGCCTTGAGCTTTCACAGTGCAATATAGCTGTGGATGGGGTCTCCATGGAGACTGGCCCC